CGATAAAGGCCGCACAGGAAGACCTGCTGGTAATTGCCTGACATATGTAAATTTAAAAAGAACCACAAACTAGGTGCAGGGATGCGTGCATGCTCTTGTTGGCAAAGCATTAAGAGCTGCGGCATTGATCGGTATAATCTTTCCTTCCACGGGCAGCGCTTCATGACACCGATGCATTCCTCCTGCTGCACAACTGTGACCAGTATCTCTGGTCGTCTCCCATCACCAGATCCAAAAGCCGATGCCTTCTGCCAGTCACTTCCCTGGAAACCACTCGCACAGGGTGGTCAGCCCAGCTACTTCCGAGCCTGAGGGTCTGTCCGTCTGCTCCCCACTTCCCACAGGCCATCCCTGAGTGTGTTCTCCTGGGGAGTGAGTCTGAAGGTTCGGGAGGTGGGTCACGCGATCTGTGCCCTTTCAGCAGTGGAAATAATGTCTGAGGGAAAAACAAACAAAATCCAACCAGCTCCAGTTCACGGTGACCCCATGTGTGTCTCGTGCAATGGGCTTCCAATTGTTTCAATGGCCGTGTCATCTTATTGGAAGTGGATCACAGCACCACTGGTTGATGCGAACCACCAACCTTTGGGTTAGGAGACAAGTGTAAACCATTTGCACTACCCCAGGACCTAAAGTCTGGGTTTTGGCCAAAAACAAAAAACACCCCAAAAGTTATTTTAATAGAAAGGGAAGAAAAGAGACACCTTATTTAAAACACGCTATCTAGTACTCTAGATGTTAGAGACAATTTACACAGACATGCTTTTCTAAACAGAGGCGCGTCCCCACACAGCGAGAGGAAGGACATATGGACAGCTGAAGGAGAGGGGCCCGGCAGCCTTACTTCACGGTGAGAGGGGCGTCTCCGCTCCGGTTGGTGTAGTTTACAATGGCGTTGAAGGACTGGTTAACCCACTGCCAGAAGAGCACTGCGGGCGTGGACCTAGGCAGAACACACGTTGAGTCATCAGCACGCCTGGTGACCTCCTTGCCTCCGGGGCAGGAAACATGAACATCAGTGACCCGTGGAAGACTGTGTGTTCTGGTCCCCAGCGTGACATGAGCCTGACGGAGCAGCTGTCCTGCGCCTCCCCGGCCTCCCTCAGCTCTGTGCTCAGAAGGCGAGTCTCAGCATGAAGGAAGAGGTAATGTACAGAGGGATGCCATGGCGGTATCGAGCACACCTGCTGCATGGCTCTGACCTTTGGGCAGCGTCACCGGGGCCTTCTGCTCGGGTGCCTGTGGGCAAGTTCAAGCCGCTAGCCTTGTGGTTAGTAGCCAAGCACATAACTTTTGCATCATACCAGCACACAGTAGGTACTCAGTAAAGGTCAGCTCCCTTGTCTTAGCGGGGGAAATTAGCCATTTGGAGGCCAACCAGCCCTACTCTTTTGTGGCAGTCTTTATGTCTCTACTTGATTGGATTAAAAAGGGAATTTGCCCAGTCACACTCTGCAACCTACCTACCGTCCTCCATCCATCTCTCCTCTGTTTTCTATTCTCTGTCTCTCTCTTATGAATCTCTGCCACGTTGGAACTATTACTGCCCGTGGGTCAATGCCAACCCACAGGGACTCTACAGGACAGGGTAGAGCTGCCCCTGTGAGTTTCCAAGACTATAACTCTTTACGGGAGTAGAGAGTGCCATCTTTCTCCCACTAAGCAGCTCATGGTTTTAAACTGCAGACCTTGCAGTTAGCAGCCCAATGCGTAACCACTCCACCACCAGGGCCCCGGAACGAAACGGAGAACTGAGAGGACAACCAGATACCCACTGAGCTGCAGTAGGGAATTCATCGTTTATGCTCCCACATCCAAGAGACACATTTGGGTGTGGTTTAGCTTCCTATCTGTGCAAATGATGCATAAACGCATCCATCAAAATAGCCCTTTTGTTGAGCAGAGTGGGCATTTTCCTTTAGGTCGCCTAAGCCATAAACCAAGAGCA